AAGCTTGGAAGTGTTGAAGTGCGGGAAAATGAGGTCAGGCCCGCACAACCATTCTCACCAACCTCAGCCTCACCCACCAACTCCCCACCTTCTCTATTTTTAGCCTTTTCAGCTTTTGTTTATTGCTATTATTTTTTGTTTGGACTAATTTCCTTTTATTGATTTCGAGTTACAAAGTTATTTTCAACCTCTGGTCTCTGGAGCACGCGTAAGAGCGGCGCGTCACCCCTCGTCAAACTAGTATCTTTGAACAATCCAAATACATTGGGCTAATGGGCTTTAACTGAATTCATCATATTTTCTAGGGTTAATATTTTCGTATGGCCTGAACTTTGACCAAAATAATTATCTTGACTAATCTTTTCGATCTATAACATTCTGGCCCGAACTATACACCAAAATAAACAATTTGGCCAAACCCGATATTTGACCGTTAACTTGGACGGTCAAACGCGTTGACTAACGGTCAACATGTCACGTCACTGCCAAGTTAGAAGATCTGATAAATATTTAATTTTTTCGTTTTTTATTTTTGGTTTAACTATAGTATTAGATGATTTTTTTTAATTTATAATAATTTAAAATTAGGGAATGTGTGGAAATTGTGAATTATTTTAAATATTTTATGCTTACTTGGCAGTGACATGGCGCGTTGACTAACAGTCAACGCGTTTGACCGTCCAAGTTAACGGTCAAAAGTCGGATCTGGCCAAATTATTTATTTTGGTATATAGTTCGGGCCAGGATGTTATAGATCGAAAAGATTGGCCAGGATGTTTATTTTGGTCAAAGTTCAGGTCATACGAAAATATTAACCCTATTTTCTATTTAATAAAATCAATCACGTAAACAAAATAATTTTGCAACCAACAAAACATATTATTTGGGTATGAGACATATATAATACTACTTTTTCTAATTTTAAATGATAAATTTGTTAACTTTCTTTATGAAACTGTAATTTATCCAAAAGTCTCAAATTCATACTAATTATAAAGAATTATGGAGAATGCGTTGCAAATGGTATTGTTTGTGAATTAAAAAGATGTGCCGCTAAGTAAATGATCGAGGAGAGCGAGGTGTCAATGGATTTCTGTGTCAGTTGCTAACGATGTGTAGAGAATAGGGATGGCAATGGGGCGGGTTTGGGGCGGATTTGCCTAAACCATCCCCATCCTCGCTTTCAAATATCCAAACTCATACCCGCTCCATACCCATGCGGGGAAGGATTTGCAAACCCATCCCCGTACCCGTGGGTTTCGGGTACCCATGGGTAATACCCGCCTCGTACATCCAATATTATAATAGCTAAAATTTTACACAAAAAAGATTCAATTATAATACTAAATGCACCTACTATTTCATAAAGTCGTCAAAGAGACAATCATTCTTAATACGATTCTAAGCATCTTATTCTAAAACATCCAATAATTCATAAGATAGAGTAACAATATAAGCCAAATCATTATTCCCTGATTTTGGTACATCTATTAAGTAATAACTTACTAACAAAATGTTGTTAACATGAGGGAAAATGTCAATGAATGAAGGAAGATTTGGAGGAAATGTATTATGTTTTGATTTGGGTGGTCACTCAATTGTATTTCTACTATTTATTTTCATGAGTTACCCTCGCTATTAATGATAGATTACAATTTAATCAATGTACTTTTTATATGTGAAGAAATATTCTTGGTGGGGCGGGTATGGGTATGGGTATGGGGCGGGGGAGACTAAAACCATACCCGCCCCATACCCATCAAACTGTTTGCGAGTTTTACCCATACCCGCCCCATACCCGGTCAATGCGGGGATTCCCCGCGTTGACTGAGTCGGGGGCGGTCGGATACCCGCGGCCATGGGTTTGATTGCCATCCCTAGTAGAGAAAGTTGCAACTCATTCTTGAAGACATAGGTTGTGGTGAGACAACGAGATGGAGCGAAGAGAGCTTGATGGAGACTGATGACATGTATGACCTCTTCGTCACTTGTGAAATTTGGAGAAAAGAAAAAAAATTCCAGGAGGAGATGCAACAATCACTAGGGAAAACAAATAATAGAAAAGAAACTGGGCTTAAAAAAAAAGTCAATGACATAGTTAGAAATTTTGGGCTAAATAATTAGCAATTTGGAAATTACTCATGTAAATGAAACACTTGAAAGTGACTCGATACTCGATAGAGTCATTTCATACTTTCATACGAATATTATAACTGATGCATTTTTTTTAGCAAACAATTCCTTATTGAGTCTAAGTTAATCAACTACGAAGATTTAGATCATGCCACCTATAATTTTTTAATATTCCACCCAATTTTAATTTGTAGGATAATATATGCTACCAACACTAGATTTAACATAATTTCTCTCCAACATAGGATTATTACAAGTAAATTCTGAAATCAATTGGATGTCAAATTATGCTGAAAACTCTACACCCCAAGACAACATTGTTCCTTCGCCAATAAACACAAGTTCATCAAATCAAAGTAACTTTTATAACTTTTGTTCACCTCTCCATATGAAGTTGTTACAACTTGAGCTATATGAGCAGTTAATGTAGTGAGGTATTTGAATTCATAGATTTTTCGTGGCCGAGGCCAACCCGGGAAGTTACTCTTACACTCTGTTTGGGAAGGGAGTAAATGAGAGGGGGGCGTAAAAAGCAGGGGTAAATCCCTTTCCCAAAAACTTTGCACCCATTTGGCAAGATTTTTTTTTGATAGAAATTTGGCAAGATTTTGAATAGTAGGGGGTGCACAAATTGTGGTGCACATCTACTATTTGCCCAAGCCCCCCCAAATTTGGGTGCAAGGGGAGAGAGAAAGATGGAAAGGAAATAGGGAAAAAAGAGAAGGAGAGAGACGCATGTAAATGGATACAAAAATGATTTTATTTTTAATTTTCAAGTTACTTTTTAATATAATAATATTACTAGCGTGGGCCCCGGCCATTTGGCCGGAGGAAAGTGAGGTATGAAATTTGATAATGTAATTGGGTGTATAGCTTATTGTTGTCTAGTTTTTTTTTGGGAAACACGTGATAAAAATAGTGAATTTTAGTAGAAAAGAGACATGAATAATGCAACGAATCAAAAATCAGCCTTATGAACCAAAATCAAGTACCTGTTACCTTGTGAAACAATATTGTTTCTAGTAATATGATGAGGTGGAGTAAGTTTTATATAACCGAATTTCAGAAAATCAAATAAAAAATCGCCTATCCCCCGGGTTCTCGGGAAATGAGCATCTCACAATCGTTGCTAGCTTTTACTCGGCCCATTGGCCGATTATTTTTCTTTATAAAACTTTCATCTTTTCATCATTGTGCTTTCTGGTTTTTTGCCAAGCCATGATAAAATCTAAAAAAATCAAGAATAAACAACACGATTTGGGATAGGAACCACCGTTCCTGTATCCCTAGAAAATGGTGGTAAACACGGACTCCCCTGCCAAACTGGTTTGGATTGAGATTTTTATCGGGTATCAGGAAACCATGTGATTATAAATTAGACTTGATCAAAACGGGTCAAAACTTGAAATTCAGCCTGTTTGACCGACCCATGCCAAACCCTAATCATTCTTTACTTTTAAACTTTCTATTTGAAAATAAAAAATAATGAAAGAAAAGAGATGACTGCAATTCGTCATTTGCACATCACTGATTCGGGAATAAAAATACGGAATTTTGAAAGGAAACTGAAAATGTTTGGGATCGTTTTAATGTTAAAAATAACCAAATAGATCTTCCTGTTTAGTTTTTTACTAACAAATACCAAACGATTTCCTATAATATACACTATAATTTAATCATTATGATATCAAATAATTACATAGTATATATTTGAAATGATAAAAATTGGACTAATTGGGTTGGTCGAGGTTGAACCATTGAATAACTTTAAAATACATTATATTTTAGCCACTAAGATATAAAATAATAGCATAATATATATTATGCTAGAGAAAATAACTTGTTTTAAAATGGCAAATCCTTGATGTTCATTTGTTTTACTTGATGGGCAAATCCCGTGTAGGTCAAACCCATTCAACTCTTTAATTTTATGATTAGTGGTTAGCCCATTAGAATCCATGCATTAGTTTATTATTAAATTTTTTCTTTTTATCAATAAAAAGGAGTATTGTTTTTGCCTTTTCATATATATTTTACCACTACGGAAAAATAAAAGGACTTAAAGAAAAAAATTTAACACTCATGGACCCGTTTAAATTCGCATGTGTACAGTAAGTTGCCCGTTGCACAGAGGAAAAAGAAAAATATTGACACTCCTTATTCTACCCTTCCTACAAACGCTCCTGGAGCAGGAAATTTGAAATGGGGGAAGGGTTTTTTCCTCTCTGCAATTATATGTTTTTAATTTAAAAAATTACAACAAATGTACTTAGTGTGATTGATTATGATCTTTGCTTTTCTTTAAAGTGGTCATGGTTCGAATCCTAGTAAGTGTCTTTTAATGAAGAAAAAAAAAGTAATTATGAAGACCAAAATGTCCTTCCTACTTTCACTCTGGATGCAGGAAATTTGAAATGAGGCTTCAAGTTTTCTCATTTGGCTTTTATTTATTGTGTAGATTAAAATCTAAACCCACCCCAATTTGCACCCTCCTGCTTTTTCTCTCAAACGATTATTTGCACCCCAATTTGCACCTTCTTTATATTTGCTTCCCTTTATAATTTGCACATCAATTTGCACCCTTCTCGAATTTGCACCCCTCGTTGCCAAACGGAGTGTTAATACACCACAATAACAAACATTTCCGAAAGCTTACGGCTCAATTAAAAATTAATTATAAAGGTGCCACGTAACAGTAAATAGCGTACATATCGCGACCTAGAAACGGTACACCAACCGCAAGCTCCTCATCACGCGCGCGTGACCCACTCGCAAACCAACCTCCAAGAGAAGAAAATAAAAAAAAAAACAACAAAACAAAACAAAACAAAACAAAACAAAAATCTCACCAATCCTCAGATCTACCCGGAGACGCTACTTGCAGTGGCTGGCTGGCTGGCTCTCTGCCTACTCCCTATTGAATTTTTAGTTTTTACATTTTTATCTTTTCGACCTTCACATCGCCTCTATAAATAACCCGAAGCCATAGTCGCCATTCTTGTGCTCAGCTCTCTCATCCCTCTTCGTATTTACACTCAGAAGGAAGGAGAACCCCGTTTCTTACTCGGTACCCTTTCTTCTCCCCGGTTCCTTCTCCGCAAGGTACGCTTGCGCTCCGTCGTCCAATTTTCCTTCCCGTCGTCGTCACTCTGTTTATATGTAATTTGTATTTACCCCCCTTGGTTTTCTTCCTACTTTCCACTCGATTTCTTACCCTGATCTGACTGTCCCTTCTCCCTTTCGCTTGACCGAATTCTCTGTTTCTTGATTAGTCTCATTGCAGTTCTTTTTTGTTTGTTAATCGCAGAGATCTGGTGAGTGTCGGTCGCCATTGATGTGATCATTTCATTTCATTACTGCTTTTCCCATTTCGATTTCTTTGTTATATGCTTGGCGGGTATCTCTGGTTTAATTTTGTGATTAGATCTGATGTGTGCGCACGTCTTGATTCCTAGATCTGGTTTCTAATTCCGTGAATTCCGAATCTGAATGCGTGAAGTCTGTTATGCATGGATGCTCATGCGTCAGAGTATAGGGTTGCGGAATTCGGAGGGAACGGCTGTTCGTTTAAGTTAATCGTTGTTGGACGTTGGATCTGGGAACCTGTTATGGCTTAATTCTGATCTGTGGAAGTTTATATTGGTCCATTTGTTCGTTTCCTGCTGGCTCTGTGTAGATCTCGGAATCTTGTAAATTAAGAAGTGTCCGTCTTTTGTTTTCTGGTGCTCCTGATTCTGCAATGGATTAATAACTCTAGTGCAATATTGAATCTTTTGGAGATTTACAGTAAACCCAATTCAAGTTTGGTCATTAATGGATTTGTTTAATGATTTCTTATAGATCTAGCTGTGATCTAGTAAAATTTGGCTGAATTCTTGATTTGATTATGATGTAATTTCAAACAGATAAAGAGAAATGGGAACCCAGTCCCACATTGCCGGATATCCTCGTATGGGCCCCAAGAGGGAGCTCAAGTTTGCCTTGGAGTCTTTCTGGGATGGCAAGAGCAGTGCTGAGGATTTGCAGAAGGTGTCTGCTGATCTCAGGTCATCCATCTGGAAGCAGATGTCTGATGCTGGCACCAAATACATCCCTAGCAACACTTTCACTTACTATGATCACGTGCTTGACACCACAGCCATGCTCGGCGCCGTTCCACCTAGGTACGGATGGAATGGTGGTGAGATCGGGTTCGATGTGTTCTTCTCCATGGCTAGAGGAAATGCATCTGTCCCTGCTATGGAAATGACCAAGTGGTTTGACACCAACTAGTAAGTGTCAGGAACTTTTTCATCACATTATTATGTGGAGCTTGACTTTAAATTGTAATGATGTACTAACTAATTGGTAATTTTCTGTTTCAGCCATTTCATTGTCCCTGAGTTGGGTCCTGAAGTTAACTTCTCGTATTCTTCTCACAAGGCTATCAATGAATACAAGGAGGCCAAGGCGGTATGTTGTTCTTTGTTCCAGTATTTATGCTTTTCTTTAGTTGAATTCCAGATTTGAATCAGAATTGTAAAACTTGTGATTATCGTTCACAAGGCGTTTAGTCTTACCATCATACAAGTGAGAATTTCCTAGGAGCAATGATTTGGAGAGTTATGGAAAAGTGACAATACTGTACCACCGTTTATATTGAACATATTTAGGTTTCAACAGATAAATGTTGAATACATCTGTCAAGAATTGAACAGCCATATGAAGTTTCTAAATATTATTGGATCCCTGAAATTTGTTTGTGAAGCTGGTATCTTAAATGCTTATGCTGTTCAGAATTCTGTGATCTTGACTATCTTCTTTATTTGCAGCTTGGAGTCGATACTGTTCCCGTTCTTGTTGGTCCAGTCTCCTACTTGTTGCTATCCAAGCCTGCCAAGGGTGTTGAGAAGACGTTCTCTCTCCTCTCCCTGCTTGACAAAATCCTCCCAGTTTACAAGTAATATTCAACTCTTCCTTGGTTCCTGTTATTTCTGGATATGTTTAGCAGCAGTTTCTGACCTATGTGTCAACTGCCATCTCCAGGGAAGTTATTTCCGAGCTTAAGGCTGCCGGTGCATCCTGGATTCAGCTCGATGAGCCTACACTTGTGATGGATCTTGATTCTCACAAATTGAAGGCATTCACCGAGGCCTACTCCGAGTTGGAGTCGACCCTTTCTGGCTTGAATGTTCTCGTTGAGACTTACTTTGCTGATATTCCTGCTGAGGCATTCAAGACCCTCACCTCATTGAAGGGTGTCACTGCTTATGGTCTTGATTTGGTCCGTGGAACCAAGACCCTTGATTTGGTGAAGGCTGAGTTCCCCAAGGGCAAGTATCTGTTTGCTGGTGTGGTTGATGGAAGGAACATCTGGGCTAATGATCTTTCTTCTTCTCTTAGCACCTTGGAATCTCTTGAGAGCATTGTGGGCAAAGGTATGTAAGCCTGGGTCAATGTTGCATCCGGTCCTCTACTTTGTGTTGGAACTATATGTTAATGTAATTGCCATCTTTTGGAGCAGACAAGCTGGTTGTGTCTACTTCATGCTCCCTCCTCCACACCGCTGTTGATCTTGTCAATGAGACTAAGTTGGATGATGAAATTAAGTCATGGCTTGCCTTCGCTGCTCAGAAGGTTGTGGAAGTGAATGCTTTGGCCAAGGCCTTGGCTGGCAAGAAGGATGAGGTACATTTCATATATCGTCTGCTATAATGTACACTTTATTGCAATTGTCATCTAACTCTTTTCTCATTTTGATTACAGCAATTCTTCTCAGCTAATGCTGCTGCCCAAGCATCAAGGAAGTCATCACCAAGGGTGAACAACGAGGCTGTTCAGAAGGCTGTAAGTTTTATTTTTTCCTTTCTAAAATTTCCTTACTAAAATTTCCTTTCCATGCCCTCTCATTCAGTTTGCTGCTGAACTTATTTGTTTAAATATTTTCCCTTTTCCTCAGGCTGCCGGTTTGAAGGGTTCTGAGCACCGCCGTGCTACAAATGTTAGTGCTAGGTTGGATGCTCAGCAGAAGAAGCTTAACCTGCCAATCCTTCCAACCACCACCATTGGCTCTTTCCCGCAAACCGTTGAACTCAGGAGGGTTCGCCGCGAGTACAAAGCCAAGAAGTGAGTGGGTTCATTCCCTTGTTTCTCTTTTATTTCTGAAAGCATTTTCATTTTCTTTTAACATATAACATTCCTTTTGCTTCTTTCTATAGGATCTCAGAAGAGGAATACATCAAAGCCATCAAGGAGGAAATCAAAAAAGTTGTCGAACTACAAGAGGAGCTCGACATTGATGTTTTGGTTCATGGAGAGCCTGAGGTGAGTTTATTGTAATTCCTCTGCTTTGCCTGAATTTGTATTTGTGATGCAAGCTTCTGACTCTGTTAACTCGTTATTTCTGTAGAGGAACGATATGGTTGAGTACTTTGGGGAGCAACTGTCAGGTTTTGCCTTCACTGTCAATGGGTGGGTGCAATCATACGGATCTCGCTGTGTGAAGCCACCAATCATCTATGGTGATGTCAGCCGCCCCAAGCCAATGACCGTCTACTGGTCCTCTGCTGCTCAGAGCATGACTTCTCGCCCAATGAAGGGAATGCTTACTGGCCCTGTCACCATCCTCAACTGGTCCTTCGTCCGAAATGACCAGCCAAGGTAATGAGGGAAACCAACAAAGTCTTTACAATGGTGAATTTTTCCCTGCCTGGATGGTTGAATGTTCGTTCTGATCTCTCGTCAATTTTGCAGATTTGAGACCTGTTACCAGATTGCTTTGGCCATCAAGGATGAGGTAGAGGACCTTGAGAAGGCCGGTATCAATGTCATCCAAATTGATGAGGCTGCCTTGAGAGAGGGGCTTCCTCTTAGGAAGTCTGAGCAGGCTTTCTACTTGGAATGGGCTGTTCACTCCTTCAGGATCACCAACATTGGCGTCCAAGACACCACTCAGGTGTGTAAATTATAAAGCAACTGTTCTGTTATTTGCTGGCTGGTCCACTGATTTTGACTCTCAAAATCAACTTCTGTTAATGTGTTTCAGATCCATACCCATATGTGCTACTCCAACTTCAACGACATTATCCACTCCATCATCGACATGGATGCTGATGTCATCACCATTGAGAACTCTCGCTCCGACGAGAAGCTCCTGTCTGTGTTCCGCGAGGGAGTGAAGTACGGTGCTGGAATCGGCCCTGGTGTCTATGACATCCACTCTCCTAGGATACCATCCACTGAGGAAATCGCCGACAGGATCAACAAGATGCTTGCTGTGCTCGAGAAGAACATCCTGTGGGTCAACCCGGATTGTGGTCTCAAGACCCGCAAGTACCCTGAAGTGAAGCCGGCTCTCCAGGCCATGGTTGCAGCAGCCAAGGCCCTCCGCACCCAGCTTGCCAGCGCCAAGTGAAGAAGCGATTTGGTGGTTTAGGAAAACTGCTGATGAATGGTGAAAACGGATTTTTACATATTTTGCTTTTCCGAGGAAAACACAGAAGGGAATATTATTGTTTGACTCAATAACTGTGGTTGTCCAGTATAGTAGGGGAGAACAGATGCTTTCCTAGAGTGGGCATTGAGTTTGCTTTCCTTTATTTGCTTTTGGGATTTTTGTTATAATTCTTCTTGTTTTGGTTCCGTCAAGTTTGTTGTACCCTCAAATTTCTTTTTCAAGAGATGTCGATTGCTTAGTAGTTGTTGAAATTGAGATCGCTGGTTCCCTCCCTACCCAACTTCTCCCATCAACTTCTCCGTTGCCTATTTCGTCCAATGACGAGAAATTTAGTTACCCCTGCTATTTTTTTTCCTGTGTGATGTGGCTGACTATTGTCATTGGCTGACAAATCAATGATGAATAGTTAGAATACAGGGTGACAATCGAGTCGAATTTTGATTAATATGCTCAAATCAAGAGAAAAGAGAAAATTGAGTTGAGTTCGAGATTGACTCATTTTTTTAAAATTTCGGCTCCATCTCGATTCAAGTTTGGCTCATCAATGAGCTCACAAAGTTGGTTCGATTTCACCACATGTATGAGTTTAAATATGGTTAAATCTTATTGAAACTCTAAAATAATTTATAAACTATATATCCTAATAGTTGTATACCATATATGATGTATGTGATTAATGTCACTATTTTCATGACCAATTGATGTGTTGATATCATATTTAGTTCATAATTATAATTAATTTATATCATGTACTCATGTTAGTTACTAGTAATTCCTGGGAACGACGCCTAAGTCGCCAATCCCCTGAATCGACAAAGATTCTTGGATATGGAATCGCAAACACAAATCTCTACTGAATTGATTGGGTGACTCAGAATTCCTAGAAGGAGATCATCGTTTCCCAGCGTGCCGATCGGACTTCCTTTCAGTTTGATTCCACGACAAAGTCGTTTTGTCTTGGGGGCCGCCGGGAAAAGTGTAGAGGGAGGATTCTTCAATTTATGGTCCTGCTGCTAGCCAGATATCGAGCTTCCTCGACTGCCGACTCGACTGGAGACTGACGTGCTGCAATTCTAGGATTCTGGGTTTTCGGTTCTTGGTCTGGCGTGGGGAGGCTTAGAGGTAGGGATGGCAATTTACCCACCCATGGGTAATTTTGCCCAAACCCAAGTAGACTCATTTATTATGGGTAGGGTTTGAGTGATGTGTGTATGGGTTTGGGGTTTGTATATGGGTTTGGGTTAGATATGGATATTATCTAAATGGGTATGGGTTGGATATGGATATCCATTTTACTTGAGGGTGTTTTAACTACACATGCAAAAATTGGACTTATTTGTAAAACTTGAAAATTTTAGGTACCAAAATGTAAGAACAAAAAAATTTAGGTACCAAAACGTAATTTTCCATCGATATTTTGAGGACTTATATGCAAAAAAAATTAGATTTAGGTACTAAATATGCATATCTATTAAGTTTAGGTACCAAACTGTAATTTGTATTTGGGCATGGGTACAAACCCAAATCCATTTGTTATAAACCCAACCCAACTCAAAGTAAATGGGTATGGGTACAAACCCATCAAACTTTACCCATATCCATATATTTAGATTTCATACCCAACCCAATTGGGTTGAATAGTAAAATACCCATAAGTATGGGCAAAATTGCCATCCCTACTTAGAGGGCGGTGGTGCTGGGCATTAATCGGTTTTGGCCCTCTGCCTTTTATAGTTTTATTCAAGATGGAGAGGAAGAAGACGTCAAGGCAGACCTGGAGAGTTGGGAGATGAGTTTGGGAATTAGTGAGATAGGGTTTGGGAATTCGGGAAGGGGTGGTTAGGGGTGTTCAAACGGTGTGGTTACCATGGTAATCGTTTTAACCAGTATTATTTGGATAATTTGGTTTGGTTAATTTGGATAATTGGTTTGGTTTGGTTAAATTTTTTAGCTTGTTTGGTTTAGGTGGTTCGGTTTGGTTTCAGACACTCCTAACCAGCCAAACAAAATTAACCAGATAAATAATTAGTCATATATCTAATTCTAATATATACACATACTTAATACTTTAAATAACCACTCAAGAGTTAAACGTTCATCCTTTTTAGACTCACAAAATATAAAGTTTGATATTGTTCCTATAATGTATATTTGTATATGTAGAGTGTAGACCACAACATATGAACACCTAATTTAAATAAATCTCATACATTGTATTGGATGAAAACTTGAAAGCAAGGTCCTTTTCAGCCTATGAAAATTGCTAAAAGACTAAGTCAATTCAAACAAACACAACAATTCATTTACCCATACCATTGTGATAAATTTTTGTTAGGTGAATACTTCTATACTAACCGTAAGATAATTGTCTTAGTTGCATGTATTTATGTTAAGGGTCTACTATAACTATGCGTTGATTGTTTTGTTTTATTCATTATATAAATTGTGAATTGATAAATTAACCGAAAATTTTCTCACTTAATGATAATGTGATTTTATATCGGTTAATATGATATTGTATTCCATGGTTAATGAAATTTAGCCTTATTTGGTTTGGTAATAACCATGGTAACCATTTGAACACCTCTAGGGGTGTTGACTGTTGAGTGAGATGATTTTTGTATTTTATTGTATATTTTTATTATTTTTTTAAAATTTTAGATGACAAAATATATAAAAATTAATATTCAAAGTTTCACGTAAGATTCCACGTCAGTGCTGACTAGACTTTCTGTTAAAAACTAACGGTCAAAGAAAGTCTACACTAACTAGAACAATAGTTCAGGACGCAAATGTCATATTGAATAGTTCGGGAAACAAATGACACAATCTTGATAGTTCGAGTTTCCTAGTGGTATTAGCCCTTATTAATAAAATATTTTTGGTGACATACTTAAAGTATTAAACCATCATATGTTATGAACTATATAGTCTAACAAACCTACAAACTATCAACAAACAAACTCACAAGATATAAATCGATTTGCTAATAAGTATCTACTTAAACTCTCTCTTCAGCCACATTATCAAGAGCTCAAAACAAGTCAACTAAATAATTGAGCCAACAAATCATCAAATTAGACGGAGTCACGAGTCTCACAAAAGCCGGATTCCGAACAATTTTTTTGCCGAACATCGAACCTCTCCCTTCCGTGACATTCTTTTCTTCATGTAGATTTTATGATTGAGAGAGATTGACATGCCCATAAAGACTACCTACTGGTCTAGTGATGTAGTGTGAAAGTGAAGTCTCAAAATCCCGCCCCCCGTCAGCCAATCGTCACCAAAATCGCCTGCTGGAAAATCTCTCTCGTCACTTCTCCGCCCCTCTAACTTCCCGTGGCTCCCTCCGCTTTCAATCTTCAACCACCGGCCGGAAAATTAGGTGGAAAAAAAAATGTACAAGTCCTTCCTTCAGACCTTCTGCCAACGGAAAAAATGGCCTCTCCCGGTCTATTCCGCCACCAAAGGCGGCCCCGACCACCTCCCCCACTTCCTGGCCACCGTCACCGTCAACGGAACCTCTTTCGCATCGGAAGTCGCCGCCAAGTCCGCCAAGGAGGCACACAATGAGGCCGCCAGAGTCGCATTCGTACAACTCGGCTCCACCGACGGTAACCCAAAAACTAACTCTAATGGAGTTTTTTTTTTTTAGTTCAATTTCATACCCGCCTTTCCTTCGTCTGAGTTACTTTTCCTTCGCATTGGTAAATCTTGATCTCTATCGCCTTTGTGATGAGTGGATTATGTTATATATGCAGTTGTCTTGAATTCAAGCCACGGAGCTGTTTCTGATGAGGGATTGCAGACTATCAATGGAAACCCACAACCAAGCGGAAGTGCCGAGATCCCCAAAGGTAGCTTCTTCTTCTTCTTCTACCTCTAAATTCTAATTTATGGTTGATAATCAAAACTCATGTGAGCGTTTCCTGGGGCTACTCTGTGATGCAATCCTTAGGCATTTATAGGCAATTTGCCATGGATATTTTTGACTGGTTGTAGACTCATATAGCGTTGTTGTGATTTGTGAATATTTTTCTTTTATCTTAGAACGCAGTATCCTTATGATTGTTTGATCTTAAAACTCTCGTCTTAATGGCATACATATACATATGTGTGACGATGAACCATATATCTTACTTGCTTTATATGGCGACTTCTTGTTTTTCGATTTGCAAGAAAGCAAAATTTGGCCTCTCCAAGTTAGAGTCTTGACATAAATGTACTGTTTTGTTGCTTGTTTCTTCTGTAGATATGCAACATTTGTGTAAAAATCAGTTGCAGATCTATGCTCAGAAGAGAGGTCTTCCATTGCCATTGTATTCTCATGAGCGGGATGGTCCTCCTCATGCTGTTAGATTTAAGTCTACCGTCACAATTGAGGGGAAAACCTACACGGGCGACGGATTCTTCCCTACATTGAAAGATGCTGAAAATTCAGCAGCAAAGGCTGCATTAGCATCATTGTTGCCTAGCGGTAGTGGAGAGGTCAGTTTTTAAACAACTTAACAGGGCATTTTTTTTTTATGTTTCTCATGAAAATGGTGGAAAACTCCATGATACTTACTTCTTCGTGTATTCTTTTGACAAAATGTTATTGTATATTCTTGGTGCTCGTTCCAGGAGGAAATGGGTTACAAGAACCTGCTGCAGGAATTTGCTCAGAAAAAGTGTTTTCTTCTCCCCATTTACGTCACAACAAGAGCTGGTGAAGTTCATGCACCTACTTTCATTTCGACAGTGGAGGTAAATCAGCAGGTTTTTACTGGACAAGAAGCAAGAACCAAGAAGCTGGCAGAGATGAGTGCAGCAAAGACTGCTTATACTCACCTTAAAGAGGGTAAGCTTCAACATTTGTATTTATACTTATACATATACAGTTTCTTGTTTGGTTTGTCCTATGATTGAAATTTGGGACATATTTATTTAATTGGTGTCGAGATGTTTTTTTAACTCTGACTCGGTCAGTTTACAGTTTGTTGCTTCATAACAAGAACTTAAACTCGAGTTTGCTTTCAGACAAACAGCCATTTCTTTGTTTATTTCCAAGAACAATAATTTTTTTGTTAAGCAAGCTCTCTCTGTCTCTCTCTCTCTCTCTCTCTCTCCAGGCTTCTTTATTCTGGTTATGGAATCAAATTGCTTATATTGTTGCAATGATTTTTGGCTGTCTTTTCCATGTTTGTATATCTCATTGTATGAGTTGGTTGATCAGGCAATTCGAATCAAAGTGCCGCTGGCCCTGTTGCTGCTGGCCAAGAGCAAGAACTTTGCTTGCCAACTCCCAAAGTTGACTCTGGTTTACTGGCTCATCTAAATCAGAATTTTCAGCCTAAACTTCACCCTGTTGCTGCCAGCAAAGAGCAAAAACTTGTTTCGTCGTCTCCTCAGGTTGAGTTGGGTCTCCTCGTTCATCCTAATCAGAATATCGGGCCTGAACTTCTTGTTCCAAGTGAAAAGGTGGGCCATGCAGGTAAGAGCTTTTCTTCAAAGCTATATGAGACGTTGATTTGAACCATCAGGTTTTGTGATGCAAGCTCCTTGTTTATGGGGACAGACACTCTTTTAATAGTTTTTTGTTAGGCATGAACCAAAGTATCGATGCATCGCGATTTAAGATTTTTTCTTGGGCACAAGAGCTTCAATCTTGAATCTCATGAACTGTAACTTCATTGCACCGTGTCATCAGAATCTAAATACGCCTGCAATTCATTTCTTGACGCAAGATGGGACATTATATGGGTGGAAGTGTGTTTCTAGTGACTGTGAAGCGTAAACCCACTATCTTACTATGCAAGCAGGTGTTGCTGAACCTTCCACCATCGATCCTGGTTCTTTTAGCAACAAAACAATCAGTAAAATTCCATCTCCATCACCGGGCAGCCCATCCTTATCCAATCTCCAGGAGGAAACTGCAGATAGTGGTACTGTAGTGGCAGGTAAGTGGTGGAACTTTGTTTGGTGCTGAGTTATTCGTCTCCAAGGAAATATGCATGTTTTAATTCTGCACATGAACTATTTTTTATCAGAGGCACAAATATTTAGAAACAATTCTTCCAATCTCTGAGCAGGTACTAATCCATTGGTTATACACCCCAGTCCGGACAGCACCGAAGTGGTTAAAAATCTTCCTGCTTCACATCCAGCTGCCTCTCCATGTTTCATTCCTTCAGTTACCGATGCTGGTGGTGTTGTGGATTCTGACTCAAGCATCCAACATCAGAAGGGTCTAAACCCTGGACTCCCTGCATCAATATCTCTCATGCCGTCAGCTACGCTTGCAGATGACAGATCATATTCAGGTATCAGTGGTCTTATCAAGTCCAGCATCGGACTCCCAAACAGGATTGTCATTCATCCACGAAACATTAGTCTCACTTATCCTCCAGGCAGCACCGTGTTACCGGTCAGTGATAGCAATTGGGTTGCTGTGAGCAGCTCTTCTCAATCCACCTTGTGAGAACGCATGGATCCTTGTGACGTATGGCTTGGTTTGGCTTAGTGTTCTGAGGCTATCTTGTGTTGAACTTGTAAGCTTGTAGTAATTTGTCACCCTTAATGTAGTTAACCGTAAATGTTGTTCTTTTATAAACCAGTCTAACAGCAGGTGGTAATACTTGCCCAATGTTCATGCTAATGTTTTAGGAATTTGGTGGACAATAGATATCTATTAACAAGTTGTTCACGATCACCACCATAATTCCATCCGTAATTCTTGGGACCATTTTCTAAAATTTTCGTGACTCATTTAACGTTGTTTAATACGTAAAGGATCAACTAAATAGAAAATAAAGAAACAAAAATATAATAGTACATAAACGAGAGTTATCAATTTAAAAAAAAATGTTTATGAAATTCAAATCATCTTTCGATGTCCAACCATGTGAGAATACCAGATTACCAGAATAATTTTTATCTTTAAATTGCATGGTTTTATTAAAGTTCAAAGTTGCAATTCGGGTACAAGAAATGTGTTTTGAAGATCACTCTATGAAGTAGAAATGTTACTAGGAATACCAGCTTTCAAGTATAATTTTTATTTTAAATTTGCATGGAATTATTAAGTTCTTAGTTTCTATTCGGGTACAAGAGATGTGTTTTGAAGATAACTCTACGAAATAGAAACAGTACTCAATTCAGTAAATTCCTACGAAGGCTATTAATTCAATGTTCATCTAGACCATTTCATTCCTCTCTATCTCTGAACATCAAAATATGTAAACATTTCCTACTTCATTAGTTTAGTACTTAAGATGTTAATGATCATCTATTTGTCTTTGCCTGATTGGCCAACTTTGCAGATGAAAAGTTATTCACTTACATTGGAGCTACCATGGCTTCCTGAAGTTTTTAAATTTCACTCAGGTAATTCTTACTACATTGAAAAAATTATTATTTTATGTTGAAATCTAAAAATGCCAATTATATTATTTTGATTATTTTCATAATAAAAACTGAGATCAAGCTCCAGTAGTAGGTTGAGAAAAGACTATTCAATATCCCTACTACTACTACATTACAAATCAATTGAAGCTAAGGTATTCAAAATAGATAAAAAATATCATTTTTAATCTAATGATCGATTAAAATACAGATGCTAGATTGTTTTAATATTTATGCTAATTTGTATTTTTGTCCAAGAGAAAAAGAACATATTACTGAAATTTAAACTTGAAACCTTTTAATCACTATTTTCATATGATAATTGGCGAACGGGTCGGGGTGTAATCTAGCTTTACGACTATTATAAAGAGGTATTTTGCCATCAAATATTTGTAAACCTTATGCATTCATGATGACTCAATTGTTACAGTGTTAACATAGCAGGGGAATCAATAGAGGCGTAAAATCTGATGAAAATATCCTTCATATGCGATATTCACAAGGAAAATATTAGGCTAAAACGAGTAATTGTTCACCAATTGGCACAATGTTAAATCATTGTTTCACTGCCTGCCGCGGCCGCCCTTCTCCTTGTGACTAACTCCTAAATCCTAATCACTAGAATAATATTGTCAAAGTAGTTCTGCCTGTCACCTTCTTCACTATTCCATTCTTATAAATTGGCCCCCCAAATTAATTGTAGCAGCATCATAGCCCCACCGCCTTTTAACCACTAAGTAACTTCCAGTAGCTACAAACTTGAGCAGCTTGCTTGCTAAATGGGCAAAATGGGTTTCCGATTCCTGCTTCCTGGTCAGTCCTTGATGATATTCGCTCTACTGATTGCAGTCGTCCCATCAACAACTGTTGCCAAATATTTCATTGTCGGTGACGAGGTTGGATGGACTACCAACTTCGATTACCAGTCCTGGACCGTCGGCAAGGACTTCCATGTTGGGGATAAGCTTGGTAAGTATACTATACAAATAGCTATAATGTGCATCATGGCAGATAGCTGGCATTGTGTATTCATCATAAGCTTTCAGTCTTTCAACATTATTAGTTAGGACGGTTACGAACGAGTCTAATTGATCTTTTGGTTCGAGTCTTAAAAATTTATGATTGTCTCAAGTATGGTTCTAAAAAGCACGGTTAGGCACTCGCTTAACCTCGCCTAGGCGCAAGTCAGAAGAAAAAAAGTCTCGCCTTGGCAAAAAGTAGTAAAGAAGGCATCACGAATTACGACCACGTTGTATCCTCGGTGGCGCCTAGTCAGCATTGAGTTGTGCCTCAAAATGATGTCTTTTTTCAATCTTTTGATATGCTACTAGGGAGGGTGATCTTGATTTCTCTATAATTAGGCTAGCTAGGGTATAGTTAGATACGACATCTTAACAGTAGCTTCTTCTTTCTGTTTTGCGCGCTCTCAATGTGCTTTGCTATTTTCCAGCTTCTTCTTCCTTACTCATTTCTCCATACTATATGTTTTATGTTTTACTATGCGTTGATGAAAGTTTGGAAATAAGAGGTATATGTGAGATATTTTGCTACGTTTACCTCTAACGCTTAGACATGTCTAGGCGACGCCTAAGCGTGCTAGGCGCAAGGTAGAGTCTCAATGCTCACCTTACGCCTAGCGCTTTCTTGAACCTCCCTCTCAACTCTATCTACCTAGATTTAGAAGAAGAAAAAAAAAAATCTTACCCTAAGTCAGCAAAGTTCTAAAATGGTTATACTCAAGGTGGTATTCCACGGGCCCAGTAACCTAATTAACTTATGATCTTGTGAATTCATAACAGTGTTCCGGTACCCCAAGGGCTTCCACAACGTGTTCAAGGTGAACGGGACGGAGTTCCAGAACTGCCTCGTCCCGTCCAACAGCAGCCTGAAGCTGGATTCTGGAAACGACATCGTCACGCTGTTGACTCCAGGGAGAAAATGGTACATCTGCGGCGTTGCCAAGCACTGCAAGCAGCAAACCCAGAAGCTCGTCATCCAAGTGCAGCCGCCCATTGTCATAGTACCGGCTCCGGCTCCAGGTCCAAGCCCATCGTCATCTGTTCCGATCCAGACCGTGGCGCCTTCTCCAGCCCACGGATGGCAACGCGCGTCTGGCCCGTCGTCGATCAGCCCATGAAGACTCCATTATTCAACTTCCAACTTTTGATAATAACCATGAAACCGTTAATTTTCCCCATTTCTAGTTTATCAAGGTTTTTACATTTCTACTATATACCCATGCATGTGGATCTATTGGTAGACACTAGACACTACGTTGTAACACGTCAATTTGTGCCGCAAGTACTAAGGCCTAGATTTACGGTTTTGTACTCTTCAGTCTTCAAGCTTCATATTTTTGTCATCAATAAGTGAACATTATATTATTTTGTATTGTACCCTTAAATTCATATATGGGCGGTATGAAAAGCAAGGTCTTGAGGGGTTTGAGTTGCAAAAAGGTTGGTAGGAAATTCCTACGGAGAACTCATTTTCTTTTCTTCTTTATACTAAGTTATAATAAGCACCGAAATGTATCATGTTTAACAAAATAGGTAACTTTGTTGAATATCCTGATGTTGAGCCTGATGCAATGTGCCTATCTCTCTGTACTTTCTCATATGGGGAAAAGTAAAGAAATGGCTGAATAAACGCGACCTTCTGCCACATTTTTTACATCGGATGGTCTGGTGCAAGTTTTCATTGAACAATTCTTCCGTCCATGGAAAATTGACGACTTAAGATGCTACATCTCTTGTTTCAGGTGGTGTAGTTCTGAAACTTTATATGAGCCTTGACATTGATACCAATGGCTTCTTCGAGCAAGCCCTCACTATGGATTTTGGGCAAGAAAAACTCGTTGATATCTTCGGTAAAGTTCTAAACATAAACATCACAGTGTTGGATCAGTCAGCCGAAGGTGACGTGACACGACTGGCTGCTAAACAACCTCTAGAACATTTTGGAACCATGAAGCAAAATCTCAAAATTAGACTAGGAGAACTACTTCTATGGCTGTTAGATCGATTCAGAAAGAATAAGATCTCTTACCCTCTATCAGTTTAGAGATATGACGGGCTGAGATTTTGACCAGTTTGAACTCCTTTTTATTGACGATCTCTTACCCTTTATCAGTTTAGAGATATGACGGGCTGAGATTTTGACCAGTTCGAACTCCTTTTTATTGACTTGTGTAGTGTATGTTCAAATTTTTTGACCAGTTCGAACTCCTTTTTATTGACTTGTGTTGTGTATGTTTAAATTTTTTGACCAGTTCGAACTCCTTCTTTTTATTGACTTGTGTTGTGTATGTTTAAAATATGAGTGGTTGGGAACTTGAAACCACAACCTCTTATAACAAGGAATGAGCTGTGTACCAACTAATCTATAAGTTTGGTATCAGGGACGGAGCCAGCATTTGAAAATAGGGGGGGGGGGGCAAAAATAAAAGATGTTAAACAAAATTACTAATTGTATTTCAATAGTACACAACGCTCTTTAAGATCATTGAAATCACTCAAAATAGCGTCTAAACTAAAAGTTTCTGCAATCTCTCGTTCAATAAAAATAACTAAGTTATCAGCTAGAGAATCATCATTCATCTTGTTCCGCAGCCTGTTCTTCACTATCTTCATAGATGAAAATGCACGTTCACCTGTGGCGGTTGAAACCGAAAGAATCAAAATAAGACGAATCAATCTATCAACAAGGTTAAATTCCTTTGACTTTCCCATCTTTTCCAAACCATGACACAATTCAGCAACTGATGATAGATTTCGGAGTTCAGGATGAGTAGGAGCATCGGCTTGAAAGTGCTTCAGTTCGTACTTCAAGTCATCCAAGTCTTTTTCTGAAAAAATCAAGAGGGTAGTACTTCTCAGCAAGATCACAAATAGCACCAATGTTGAAAGCTTTATAACCATCCTGAGGATCCAAACTTGAACTAAGCTTCAGAAGTTCAAGTACTTTGTCATCGAACCTTGCTCGTATTTCCTCTATATGCACATCAATGGCGGCATTGAACACATCAAAATGATAAAAGTGTTCATTTGTGATGCCATCCCGTCGTCGTCGACTTTCATAATGTGGAGCAGTAAGATCAGGAGCATTGATCTCATGTTGTTGGCAAAACTTTGTGACTTTTGCTAACAAAGAATCCCAATCTTCATTCCTCATTTGGTTCAACAACTTTGTAGTAGTCTCAATTGCCCTCATTGCATTTACAATGTCTTGAGATTTACGTTGCAAAGCTTTGCAAAGCAAATCAGTGGTGCTTAGTATCTCCTTCATCATATGCAAAATGAAGATGAACTCAAATGATTCCGTAATTCTCAAAGTTGTACTAGCATCCCCCCTTGTTTTGTAGTGAGCACAATCATTGCTTATGTTCTCCAAAACCCGACAACTTGAACCATACAAATGGATAAGGCTAGCAACAGAACTCAAATGTGAACTCCATCGAGTATCACAAGCTCGTTGTACATTCCGAATCTGATTGGCACCTTTTCCTGTCTCAATTTCACCTGATGCTAGCTTTTGTGCATAATAATCTTCTTGAAACTCTTCTAACTCATCAAGGCGCTTTGTAGAGCCACTAATAGCAGTCACAACCTTTGGTAACTTTGTGAAAAACTCTTACCCTATCCACTTCTCTTGATGCTGCAAGCAATGATAGTTGAAGACGATGAACCATGCACATAGTATGCATGAGGAAAATCCTTCAAAAAGAGTGCCTGCAATCCCTTCCATTCACCACGCATGCTACTAGCACCGTCATATCCTTGTCCACGAAGATTCTGAAGGGAAAACTTATGAGAAGTAAGAGTTGAGCAAATAGCATAGTGCAAAGTCTTTGATGTTGTGTCTTTGACATGCACAAGATTAAGGAAGCGCTCTTGAATCAATCCTTCAATATCAACAAAGCGAAGAACAATGGCCATTTGTTCATGTTTACCTTCATCACTTGCCTCATCCACAATTATCGAAAATTTAGAATCTCCAATGTAATCAAAGATCTGCTTTCTGATCTTCTTGGCTAAAACATGCAAGATTTGCTTCTGAGCCTCATGTGATGTGTACTTTGCATTCCTTGGAGCATTCTCCAACACAACACTATCTACTTCTTCATTATAGAAACGTGTGTATTTGAGAAGCTGAATAAAGTTCCCAGGATTCTTTGAATCAACAGTGTCATCTAGACCTCAGAAGGCAACTCCTTGCAATGCTAGATAACGAACAACATCTATTGAGGTTGACTCACTCCTACTGTCACTCTAGAAAATGGCCAAGTGCAACCACTTCCTAAAGCGTAGTATAGCGGGTTTGGGTTTTAATGTCAACCTGGGTCCTAGATGTGATGACTACTCGGTGAATTCTCGTTATCTAGCAATGAACTTTTAGTGCAAACTCAAGCAAACAAAAACACAAAGCAAGTAAACGGTTGTTGTCAAGTCAAGAGAGGTCACCCGGATATGGTTCCCCCTAGACTGCAGTTAAGTCGAATTGCAATTTACTAAGTTATAATAAACACCAAAATGTATCATGTTTAACAAAATATATGTAACTTTGTTGAATATCCTGATGTTGAGCCTGATGCAATGTGCCTATCTCTCTTTACTTTCTCATATGGGTAAAGTAAAGAAATGGCTGAATAAACGCGACCTTCTGCCACATTTCTGACATCGGATGGTCTGGTGCAAGTTTTCATTGAACAATTCTTCCGTCCATGGAAAATTGACGACTTAAGATGCTACATCTCTTGTTTCAGGTGGTGTAGTTCTGAAACTTTATATGAGCCTTGACATTGATACCAATGGCTTCTTCGAGCAAGCCCTCACTATGGATTTTGGGCAAGAAAAACTCGTTGATATCTTCGGTAAAGTTCTAAACATAAACATCACAGTGTTGGATCAGTCAGCCGAAGGTGACGTGACACGACTGGCTGCTAAACAACCTCTAGAACATTTTGGAACCATGAAGCAAAATCTCAAAATTAGACTAGGAGAACTACTTCTATGGCTGTTAGATCGGTTCAGCAAGAATAAGATCTCTTACCCTCTATCAGTTTAGAGATATGATGACCCGTTCGAACTCCTTTTTATTGACTTGTGTTGTGTATGTTTAAATTTTTTGACCAGTTCGAACTCATTCTTTCTATTGACTTGTGTTGTGTGAGATATGACGGGTTGAATTTTTGACCAGTTCGAACTCCTTTTTATTGAATTGTGTTGTGTATGTTCAAATTTTTTGACCAGTTTGAACTCCTTTTTATTGACTTGTGTTGTGTATGTTTAAATTTTTTGACCAGTTCGAACTCGTTCTTTTAATTGACTTGTGTTGTGTATGTTTAAAATATGAGTGGTTGGGAACTTGAAACCGCACCCTCTTATAACAAGGAATGAGCTGTGTACCAACTAGGGATGGCAATGGGTCGGGTCGGGGGCGGATAGTGCATATCCGTTACCCTACCCAATGTAGTTCGGGTCTTACCCATACCCGTACCCACGCGAGAAACGGGTAGAAAATCAAAACAATGCCCATACCCGTTCGGGTTTCGGGTATCCACGGTTATCCATGAGTAATAATTTCTCCTTATAATTCCAACCAATATGTTAACATTCACACGTATACTCACATTACGTAAGAGGAAAAGTACGACAATAATTCACTAGAATGACGAAAATTAATTAAAACAACATAATTTCATGAAAATATTATATTTATATGCTAAATATAAAATATTCTAGGGAAACATAATTTCACGGTTAAGAACTTTCCTACACTAGTCCGGCCAATACAATGAAAAAGTTGAATCCAACATGAATATAGAACCAATAAATAAAGCTCGCAAGTGACCGTAAAACAGAAACTTGTAGCATTGTAAGAACCCGCTCATAAATATATTATCTCTTAAAAAACGTTGAGTTTTTCCACAAAACAAAACAAAACAAAAACGCTACACTAGTGATCATCACCTCAGCTACCGCCGTACGACAATGGACTCCATAATTAATCAAAATCCACACCTATAAATTGGCTATGAAGACAGATTGTGTCTACCATCCAACAAAACAAAAGCGCAGAAGCATTAATAGTTCAGCAAAGTAGAAAATATCATAGTAATGGCTTTCCATTCCCATTCCATGTCTCACAAGGTAATTTTCTGGGCTTTGGTCATTGCTGTTGCTGCTGTTGCGATCACTCCGTCGGCCGTTCTCGCCACGAAGATAACCGTTGGTGGAGACAAGGGCTGGACGAAAGGCTTCGATTACCAGGGTTGGGCACAGGGCACCAAATTTCACGCAGGCGACAAGCTTTGTGAGTCATACCAACTACTAATCCATTTTTTGATTCGTTTACTTCTCTCGACCCTTTGAGATAGCTATTGAAATGAATTTGATTTTTTTTTTATATATATATAAGCTCATATAGTCACATTAACTGTCACGAGTCTTAATTACAGTTTTCACGTATCCGAAGGGCGTACACAATGTGTATAAGGTGAACCAAAAACAGTTCCAGAACTGCGACATCACATCGGCCACAAAGAAGTACACTTCTGGAGGAGACACCATTACATTAAAGCGCGGAACAAGTTGGTTTATCTGTGGTGTAGGGGATCACTGCAAGAATGGTCAAAAGCTTGTCGTCAATGTAAAGTAAAGCTCAAGTATTATACTGGTGATCAATTAAAGGACCCACAAATAATTTGGATGTCATTGCGGCCGGTGGGAAGATCGATCGTTTGCGTTAAAATTTGCTTGTGGTTTTGAAAGGAACAAAAAAAGAAGAAGAGTAGCACAAGAAAATGCCATTTTTAGGCAATAATAAGTAGGCTACAAAATTTGCGATGTGATACTACATACTGGGTATTAATTTGAACTTGTACTTTCTTTGAGAGTATGTCTTTCATGTAATGCAAGGCTCTTGTACCAGACTTTATTTTGATCGCCAAAGCCATATTATCATCATGTATCCTTCTGAACATCTGACAGAATTAAAACAATATATATAAAAAAATTAGTAAATTATAATGATTTCGCACTAGGTTCATCAAAATCAAGCAAATGAAATTATTGCAATACAATAATCAGTTGAACCAAAGGCAGTTCGAGAATTGCGATTTCGCATTTGCAAAGAAGTACATTTCTGGAGAAGACACCATTACATTAAAGAGTGTAACAAGTTGGTTTATCTGTGGCGGAGGGGATCAAGTAGGGATGGTCAGAAGCTTGTGGTCAATGTGAAGTAAAACTCAAATACTACTGATCACTGATCAGTTCCACAAATAGTCTGAATGTGGGTAAAATATCTCGAGTGCCACTTAAGTTTGAGAATTGGGGTAGACATATCACTTAAGTTTGAATAGGGCGTCGGGTACTATTAAAATTGCCAAAATGTGCATCCGTCAACTTTTCCATCCAACCCAAACTTTTAATTATTTTTTGATATCCAAAACTTTTAAAAAACATCCAAACTATATTTCAGCAAGTTTTTATCTAATATAATAATTAGAAAACCTTCTAAACATATTATTACTAGAACTACTAATCAAATATTCTTCAATAAAATAGATAAAATAGTAAAATTAGTAAACGAATATCAAGAAGAAAAATAAATATGCTAGAATATAATAATAAATATTTAAAATAAATATTAGAATATCTATTTAAACCCACTAATTAAATTAGAAGCACCATTAGAAATAGTTAAAATAGTTTCACTAAAAGGAAATAGTTAAAATAGAACCTAATCGATTATTAATACATCAAAATAAAAAAAGGATAAATGGAAGTTGTAACACAATCGGAAAGAATTAAACATATTTCACTAATTGAAAAAATTTAGAACGAAAATAGATGAAAAGTAACCAAGTAATAAACAAAATATAAAAGCTACAACATTTGGTAAAAAATATAGAAAAGAAAACATGACTATAAAAGCTACAACATTGTTTAGTTACAACATTTATGGAATAATTCAATTATTAGAACACATAATGATAATTGAAAATAATTATAATGATAATTGATTCTAGAATTTCTATTCAAAAATTGATTTGGTATTAAGTATTGAAAAAAGGATTCTAACTAAACAATAAAAATGATATTTTTCATAAGTCCAAATGATTTTTTACAAAAAGAAAAGTAGAAGGGTCAATTATGAAATTTAGAAAATTGAATATTCCAAGAATATTCCGTCAACTTTAACGGAATGCACTTAACAGTACACTTAAGTGGTACCGGGTGCACATATAATAAAGTTTAGTGGTACCCGACGCCCTATTCAAAGTTAAGTGGTATGCATACCCCAATTCTCAAACTTAAGTGGCACCCAAGGTATTTTACCCGTCTGAATGTCGTTGCTTGCTGGAAGAAGAAGAAGTAGTGGCACAAGAAATTGCCATTATTTGGCAAATAATGAATAAGCTACAATATTTATGATGCCGGGGTTTTGATTTTGAAACTTGCAATGTGTCATGTGTGTAACGAGCCATCGAGGAATGTCGTGTAGTTGTCTTTTTTTATACAAAGATTTTAATTTTAGGGTAATGTCTATTTTTTATTCAAATTTTTTTTAAATTCTTTTATATTATCCAAACTTATTAAAATGCTATTAATAGCCAAATATTTCGTAATGCATCAAAATGTTAGCCATTTTTAAGTTATCGTTAATAATTTTGTAAATTTTTTCTTAGTTAAAATACTAAAATTTGCAATGTTAACATTCATGTGTCTCTTGCAAGTCAGTTTCATGTTGCCAAGTTAATATTACTAACAAAATTGCTAACTGAAAATTGACATTTCGCTAATTCTTAGTATTTCCATAGGTTTGGATAATATAAAAAAAATCTAAATTTTTTTTTTCCCGTTGAATCAGTTTCCTTTATTCCAAGTAACCAAAACAACGAAGAGGGGAGTAAAAACTACCCCAAGTTCTCCAACTACCAGCCAAAACTCTAATTACAAATCAGACTACTATTCCCTATAAGCAACTAAATGTAACCCAATCTCACTAAAGTGTCTCGAGCTCCCCTATTCCCATATGTGAGAAACACCAGCTCCTGCTTGATTTGCTCAGCAACTTGCCTTGGTGTCCGAACTGCAGCTCCAAAAACCACTCCACACCTCTCCTTCCAAACGAAAGCAATCACTAGGCACCACAGAAGAGCTTGCCACTCCCCAAGCGGAGCACACCCAGCCTGAGAATGCGAGTGAATCATCACATTCCAGTCTGGAAATTGTAAAAGACGACACCCCAATTCTGCATCCAATTCAGTAGCTATATATTCATCTAAAAAAAATTTGAATAAAGAATAGACATTACCCAAAATTCTTAATTTTATTACCAGAGGCACATTATTGCTATATATTCATTCTCATTATTGTTATATATTCATCCCTTGGTATAAATAAATATATTAAGAGATTATAATGATTTCTCCCTTGGTTCATCCAAAACAAGTAAATGAAGAAATAATCATGTGAATATTCCGGTGAATAATCATGTGAATATTCCACGTGCAGCTTTTGTAAAGACCACCCGGAAACGGTCCTGCATGTGTTGTGGGACTGTGAGTTTGCAAGGTTAACTTGGTTGCAGCTTGTTCCGTTTTCTGATCACCAAAGTTTCTTTGACAGTCATCTGCCGGAGTGGATCTCTTCCAACCTTGACAAGGAGAGTTTCAAACTCGAGTTCGGCCTAGTGTGCTGGTCTCTGTGGCGGACCAGAAACGATCGAGTCTTCGCAGACAAGATTGTTCCAGTTGAAGCTTTCTACCAGCGCGTCATGGCATGGGTACAGGTAGTGCGGAATGCCATTGACAAAGACAGGTTATTTCATAAACCTCGTCTGCCCATGAGAACGGAGGTGGAGATCTCGTGGAAGCCGCCACCTCCCGAGTGGGTCACCCTCAATTCAGACGGCTCCGTTCTTACTGATTCAGGCCACGCGGCGGCAGGTGGCCTAATAAGAGATCACACTGGACGTTGTTTAACAGCGTTCGCTTATAACTTGGGTGCGTGTTCTATCACCAGAGCAGAATTGAGGGGCGCAGGGGAAGGTCTTCAACTGGCTTGGAACTTGGGCTATCGTCGAGTTAATATTGAGTTGGACTCACTGTGTTCGGTTCACCTTCTTACTAGTACCGAGCATAGGGATCACCAACATGCCGCTATCATTGACAGGTTCCAAGATTTAATGACTCGCGACTGGGAGGTCCGAGTCTATCACATCTATCGAGAGGCGAACAAATGTGCTGATTTCCTTGCTGGGCTCGGCCACTCGATGGCCTTGGGGTTTCATTGTCTTTCGAGTTCTCTCCCGATTTGTATCAACTACTTTTGTATGACTGTCAGGGTCTCTCTGAGACTCGTTTGGTTGTGAATGAAAGCTAGATGCGCTGCATCCATTTATTAAAAAAAAACTTAACATTTTTATATATTTTTTAACTCGGTTATTGGATATTTGTTATACAGTTTTATTTGAATTTATCTACAATACAATATCTACTCTGACACATTCTGAAACAACAAATTCAACATGGCAACCTAGAGGTTTCAATTGGGCGGGCTGCGGGTGATCTTATTACGGGTCAGTTGTAAATTGTAAGTATATCGGATTACGGCTCAACCGGGTTACGGATAGATAGGGTTATGGGTCGGACGCGTTGCGAGTGGATCGGGTTATGGGTTGTTAGGCAGTGGCGGACTCAGGATTATTGAAGAGGGGTGTCACAGATAAAAAATTATAATAATTAAATAAAAATTTAATAGAAATTAAGGGAAAATTATTTATAAGTTCACAACGTCATGTTTATTACGAATTATGATGATTTTTCATATCCTGAGATTTTGTTAAAATACATTCATCATTTATGTTGCAAATCAAACATTTTACGATATACACAACTACATAATCATTCATAAATTAGTCACTCAATCAAAGAGAATCGACCTACGTCTAAACTCAAATTAAGTTAAAATAAATTAATTTGCTACCAATCGGAAATTTTAGAAAAAAAAAACAAAGTATGCCTAAAGTAATATCATTAGCATTTTTTCTCTAGTTTTATCAAATTAACCAAAATCAAACTACAATCTCACATAAATATACGCAATTTGCGTATTAACTACAAATCGACAAGTTAAATTGGGTTGTGGGTTACTTAAAACAAGCATGCTTATTTGATTTTACTTATTATTGTTAATTCCTAATTATGATGAATAATTTTATAACATTAAAACTATTGTCGTATAATGAAAGTGTGTCGCTTATAGTTATTAGAACGGTGTCGGAAGTCCCAAATTAAAAATTTTGGTACCGGAAAAATGGAGGTCCTTTACAAAATTGTGTTACTTACTATTTTTTTTATGAATTACTTACTCTTTATTTGTCACCTTACACTAATTTCAAACAATTTTTTGCAATTTTTAGAAATTTGATTTCTACCTCATATATGTACTTATAGAAGTTTTTTTAGGTAGAAATACTTATAAAAGTAAAAAAGAATTATCAAATTTCTAAATTAAGTTCGTATTCGTTTGATGATGGAGTTTTCACAATTGTTTCGTATGACTTAAAAGACCAAGCTTAACCCTCTTATTGAAATCAAAATGCAACTCGAGCACCACTTAAATGGGCTAAATCATTATTTCAGCGTTGTAAAATAATGATCATGTATAGCAGAAGTTGTATAACAGGCAAGTCAGGTTGCAAGTTAATTGGGTTGCGGGTCAATCGCCTTACGGTCAAACAGGTTACAAGTCATAAACTTTAAGTCAATTTAGATTGTGGGTCGGGTTGACTGGATGTCAGTTTAATAATCAGTTTAAGTTTGTTTAAGTTTTCGTGGTGAGTTTTTTACGTATTGATATACAACCCATAGTTGAAATTCTTTATATTTGTTTTTTTGCTCGATCGAGATTTCTCATCACTCTTGTTTTATGGATTCTCAACTCTTACCTAATATGACATTCCAGCTGCGTAGGATATAAAAAATGAGACCACAAATGTATTGTTGCTAAATTGGTTAACCATTTTTGTAATCAAAAGAAGTCTCAATTGCACAAGTAATAAAAAAAAATTCAAGCTTCTCTTAAACGGTGCTATTCGATCTCCTTAGACAAGGGTTATGAGTAAGCTATGAACATTTTTATGTATACATGATGTGCAAATAATTTACAACCGACATAACTCACGTTCATGTGTATAACTCAATCTCGTACTAATTCAATGTATGTATTAATTCTTCACCATTTTACAATTTTTAAAGTCATATTAACTCTTACAGTATTATAAACACTCAATCATCAACGACACTTCAACCCTTTCATTTAACGTTTATTTTTTAACTTAGTGTTGGGGTCATAGAAAAATACCACAATCTCTAAAACACTGAAAAATAAAAACAAAAGGATATATCTAACATAAAAACTCTCTAAGTTCCAAAGTAATCAAACCCCTATAATGAAATATAATTTAAATACAATCATTTTCGTGGATCAATTTTGGAATTAGTTAGACTAATTAAAAGTTTAAAACCACAATTGCTATCTTTTTCCAAGAAAAGGACAATAATTTTATATTAAATTAAAAGGGAAAAATAATTCAAGAGAATGAGAAAATTTTGAGTTACGCTGACAATTTTTTCTTTTTATTAGTTCTAACAACTTCTCCCCTGTAATAATACGATATTTTTATATCTTTTTTTCTCGTTTAGCGAGAGGCTCGATAGCCACCGTTTATGGGTTTTGTAGGATTTCATAGAGTTTGAGAGAGGAAGCCATTGATCGAGAGAGAAAGCTAGTCAGTTTTGATCAAAGCTACAACTACGATTTAGATGAGAGTGCTAAGCCTGGCAACAGTCTTCTCCGTTGCGAGGTTGAGAGAGAGAGTTTCCCCAACTAGCTAGGTCTGCTAGATGTGGGGTTTCGTGAAAGAGGAAACCCTAATCACGCCTTCTACTAGTTATGGTAAAGGAGTGATATGTTTTCTATAGTTTTCTTGTTTAGGGATCGTTGTTTGAGGATACACTTTTCAAGTAGTTGCAGATGGAAAGTATGTAAGAGAGTTATGTTGTTCAAGCCATCATGCTTGTTCCTCACATTTCCTTCTTCAAGCTCGACATTCTTGCCATTCATGTCTTCGCTTGAGGGGGGAGTGTTGCGGTTACTTAAACCGTGTTAGTATTGGGTCTTGTTGGGCTTTGTCCGAGTTGTAGTAGGTACAGATATTTGGCCGTACTCGACTCTTCTCGTTAGGGTTTTAACCCTAGTCTATCTTAGTATATGACTTAGCTACGAACCTGTCGTAAACAAGCCGTTACAATGTAAACCTAATAAAAGATCAGTCGTGAGCTCTTGAGAGCTCACCATGAATTAGTCATGTTCACGTCGAACAAGGATATCACGTAAAACTCTTTTTTCGTGTTCTCTTTCCTTCCCTGTTATCGAATTCTTCAAAACACGCCAGTATAATTAACACCTTCCACATGCTGGTCACCATTTCCTACACTAGTCCGGCCAATACAATGAAAAAGTTGAATCCAACATGAATATAGAACCAATAAATAAAGCTCGCAAGTGACCGTAAAACAGAAACTTGTAGCATTGTAAGAACCCGCTCACAAATATATTATCTCTCAAAAAACGTTGAGTTTTTCCACAAAACAAAAACGCTACAATAGTGATCATCACCTCAGCTACCGCCGTACGACAATGGACTCCATAATTAATCAAAATCCACACCTATAAATTGGCTATGAAGACAGATTGTGTCTACCATCCAACAAAACAAAAGCGCAGAAGCATTAATAGTTCAGCAAAGTAGAAAATATCATAGCAATGGCTTTCCATTCCCACTCCGTATCTCACAAGGTGATTTTCTGGGCTTTGGTGATTGCTGTTGCTGCTGTTGCGATCACTCCATCGGCCGTTCTCGCCACGAAGATAACCGTTGGTGGAGACAAGGGCTGGACGAAAGGCTTCGATTACCAGGGTTGGGCACAGAGCACCAAATTTCACGCAGGCGACAAGCTTTGTGAGTCATACCAACTACTAAATCCATTTTTTGATTCGTTTACTTCTCTCGACCCTTTGAGATAGCTATTGAAATGAATTTGATTTTTTTTTTTAAATATAATTAGCTCACATAGTCACATTAACTGTCACGAGTCTTAATCACAGTTTTCAAGTACCCGAAGGGCGTACACAATGTGTATAAGGTGAACCAAAAGCAGTTCCAGAACTGCGACATCGCATCGGCCACGAAGAAGTACACTTCTGGAGGGGACACCATTACATTAAAGAGCGGAACAAGTTGGTTTATCTGTGGCGTAGGAGATCACTGCAGGAATGGTCAAAAGCTCGTCGTCAATGTCAATTAAAGCTCAAGTACTGTACTGCTGATCAATTAAAGCATCCACAAATCGTTTGGATGTCATTGCGGCCGACGGGAAGATCGATCGTTTGCGTTAAAATTTGCTTGTGGTTTTGAAAGGAAAAAAAAAAGGAGTAGCACAAGAAAATGCCATTTTTAGGCAATAATAAGTAAGCTACAAAATTTGCCATGCGATACTACTTAACTGGGTTTTAATTTGAACTTGTACTTTCTTTGAGAGTATGTCTTTCATTTAATGCAAGGCTCTTATACCAGACTTTAATTTGACCGCCAAATCCATATTATCATCATGTATCCTTCTGAACATCTGACAGAGTTAGAACAATATAAAAAAAATAATAGTAGATTATAATGATTTTACACTAGGTTCATCCAAAACAAGGAAATGAAATTACTGCAATGGAATAATCAGGTGAACCAAAGGCAGTTCGAGAGCTGCGACTTCGCATCTGCCACAAATAAGTACACTTTTGAAGGAAATACTATTACATTAAAGAGTGAAACAAGTTGGTTTATGTGTGGCGTAGGGGATCAAGTAAGGATGGTCAGAAGCTTGTGGTCAATGCGAAGTAAAGCTCAAATACTACTGATCACTGATCATTTCCACAAATAGTCTGAATGCCGTTGCTTGCTGGCAGAAGAAGAAGAGTACGTGGCACAAGAAATTGCCATTATTTGGCAAATAATGAATAAGCTACAAAATTTATGATGCCGGGGTTTTGATTTTGAAACTTGCAATGTGTGTGACGTGTCATCGAGGCATGTCGTGTAGTTGTCTTCTTTTATACAAAGATATTAATTTTAGGGTAATGTCTATTTTTTATCTATTTTTTTAATTTTTTTATATGATCCAAATTTATTAAAATGCTATTAATAGTCAAATCTTTTGTAATGCATCAAAATATTAGCCATTTTTATGTTATCATTAATAATTTTCTAACTTTTTTCTTAGTTAAAATACTCAAATTTGCAATGTTGACCTTCTTATGTCTCTTCCAAGTCAATATCATGTTGCGAAGTCAATATTACTTACAAAATTGCTAACTAAAAGTTAACATTTGACTAATTCTTAGTATTTTCATAGGTTTGGATAATATAAAAAAAATCTAAAAAAAAGTTTGGATAAAGAATAGACATTACCCAAAATCCTTAATTTTATTACGAGAGGCACATTATTGTTATATATTTCTCTGAATACCTGAAAAATTGTAACAATATTATAAATACATATATTAAAAGATTATAATGATTTCTCCCTTGGTTCATCCAAAACAAGTAAATGAAGAAATAATCATGTGAATATTCCGGTAATTTATTAGTTTATATTTTCATTTACTTTATGTTGCCGTTGGCCGAGCAGGTGACACTCTTGTTGGCTGAAACGACACCGCTTTGCCTTGCCTAAAGAACATTCTACGACATCGTTTTAGCTTCTGCCCTACGACAGCGTTTCGCTCTTCCAAGTCTATCTAAACACAAACAAAGCAGCAAGTAGCAGGGCTTCTCATCTTCATCGAGAAAAGCTCTCGACCTCATCGAGAAGCGCTTGGCACGAATTCCAGTTCCTCTGCTCTCATTTCTGCTCAAGGAGTAGGAGGCACCGCCTCTACAAAAGCTCCTAAAGAGGAATCATGATGAGACCTCAGCAACGGTCATTGACACGCTAAAACACAACACCAAACTGCGACCAAGTATAATCGCAGTCCGGGAATGCAGTAAAGTAGCAAGTTCTATTGTCAACCCGGGGTCTAGATCTACTGCCTACTCCGTGATTATCTATTATCTAGCAAACTAAGTCGAGTGATTGTTGTTTTAACTAAAAGCAGTAAGAAAGCAGGAATTGGTTCGGTTTTCTGAAGTCAAGGAAGAGTCACTCGGGAATGAGTCCCCCTAGCTCCTTAGTTAGGTCTCAATTGTAATTACCCTGGGTTGATTTACTGTTGATTAAACTGCGGAAGATCCGACAGTAGCTTGGAATCTCTTAAGCTGACCAAGCCCTCTCAGTCAAACTACCCGGCAGACGACTAGTATTCACCGGGATAGAAAGCTGAGGCTATGAACACAGAACTCCACTACTGGAATTGGATTCAAGTACAAAGCAGTAGATTGGCTAACTCTCTTATAACCAATCCACTACTACCGAATGATGTAGCTCTAACAACCTAATCAGATTCTATCTATCTCAGGTTGCAGCAGAAATCAAGAAAAGCTGATCAGACTTCAATCAATTCAATGAATCATGCATCATTCGATTATAATCAAACAGTATAACTATCCCAAGTCATTACAATCAAGATCCCTAACACATGGAACTAGGGTTCTTCATACCCAAGTGAGAGAAAGTTCTACTCCATAGAGAGAGAGAGAGAGAGAGGGGAAAACAGGATACAAAGCAGTCATACTCATAACAATGGGAAGAATCTGCTCTGGGATGATGATTATCACTCCTATGATGATTTCAAAGCTTGATTTGATGAAACCCAGCTCCAAAACCACTCTTAGGATGAGTTCTTCGCACTCTCTCTCTAGGGCTCTGTTTTTGCTCCAAAAGGTTGATTCCCTCACTTTTGGCTCGAAATTGGGTAAAAACCCAGATTTCCCGATTACACGGGCATGCCACACGGCCGTGTGGCTTACCCAGATGCTCATGTGAGCTCCAAAACGCTGCGTCCCGAATAATTGCACTTCAGGCTTCCCACACGGCCAGGGATACACGGCCGTGTGGAATTTCCATCATGCCCGTGTGTGTGCTCGGTAAATACCACACGGCCACATTGGTGACATGCACGGCCGTGTGTATTCTCCAGCTTGCCCGTGTGAAGCCTCGCTAAATCCCACACGGCCACAAGGGTGACTTGCACGGCCGTGTGGGTTCCACGAATGCCCATGTGGCTTCCTCAGCGACTCGCCACGCGTCGGATATTCGTCCAATCGACCCCAAACTCGCTCCCAAGCCTCCATTGACGTACTAGGACCTGAAATATCACAAACAAGCACAACCTAGCGTGAAATCGGCCTAAAACACGAGAATCCACATCTCAAACGGTGTAAGAATAGGGGTAAAAACATGTGCAATTAACGGTCTATCAGTCATCTTCTTCAAATGGCTACACGCCCTTCCGTGTATAAATTAGGTATCCTCTTCAGTTGTAAGGCTTTGGCGGTTTGCAGTGAGTGAAATAGTAGAGTGTTCCTTTTGCATTAGGTCCCTCAATTGCTTCAGTAGCTTTATCATAGTGATGCCTATCTGGATGACTTAAGCTTGGGAAGTAATTAGGTCTTTATTGTGATTTTAAAGAGCTAACGTGATTGGCTTGGCTAGGGTTGGTGTTTGTAATCGAATCGTTTCTTTCATCATCAATAAAATCTTTCTTGTTCTACAAATTGTCAAAATGAGTGTTTTTTAGTGTTGTGCTTCAAGAACTTTATCTCATTGCGATTCAACAATTGGTATCAAAGCAGGCTCTTCAAAGGATTAGCAATCGCTGAAGAGGATCTATTCAGGATGACAGGATCATCACCTGCATCAGCGTCATACTCTGCGAGTACAAATCCTCCATGGTTTGATGGGACGGATTACACATTCTAGAAAAAGAGAATGAGGATCTACCTCTGCGACATTGATGGAGATATCTGGGGAATTGTCCGCAAAGGACCCATTCCTATGGATGAAGAAGATGAAGAAAAATGGGAAGATGAGCAAAGGCTCTCATCTCAACTGGACTCAAGGGCGATGCACATCCTGTTCTCTGCCCTCTGCACAGAAGAAAGGAGTCAAGTAGCTCAGTGCGAAACTGCCAAGGAAATATGGGAGTCTCTTCAGACTACCCACGAAGGTACGTCAGAAGTTAAAGAAAGTAGAATAGATATGTTGTTAAACGAATATGAATCATTTGAAATGAATTCTGGAAAGTCAATATCTAGTATGTACAAAAGGTTCAATGATCTTATTAATAGGCTAAAAGGTTTAGGAAAAGTGTTTGCCACCAAGGACCTTGTTAGAAAAATACTCAGAAGTCTACCTAGGGAGTGGCTACCCAAGAGAACTGCTATAGAGGAAGCTAAGGATCTGAATGTGTTATCTATTGAAAGGCTGGTAGGTTCCTTGTTAAGTCACGAAGAAGTCATTATACAAATGAACAAAGAAGACAATCGACGCAAAAAGGTTATATCAGATTACGGCTCAACCGGGTTATGGGTAGATAGGGTTATGGGTCGGACGGGTTACGAGTGGATCGGGTTATGGGTTGTTAGGTAACCACATTGTGTTACTTACTATTTTTTTATGAATTACTTACTCTTTATTTGTCACCTTATACTAATTTCAAACAATTTTTTGCAGTTTCTAGAAATTTGATTTCTACCTCATATATGTACTTATAGAAGTTTTTTTAGGTAGAAATACTTATAAAAGTAAAAAAATTTATCAAATTTCTAAATTAATTATGTATTCGTTTTGATGATGGAGTTTTCACAATTGTTTCGTATGACTTAAAAGACCAAGCTTAACCCTCATATTGATATCAAAAAGCAACTCGGGCACCACTTATATGGGCCAAATCATTATTTCAGCGTTGTAAAATAACGATCATGTATAGCAGAAGTTGTATAACAGGCAAGTCAGGTTGCAGGTGAATTGGGTTGCGGGTCTCAATTGCACAAGTAATAAAAAAAAATTCAAGCTTCTCTTAAACTGTGGTATTCAATCTCCTTAGACAAGGATTATGAGTAAGCTATGAACATTTTTATGTATAGATAATGTGCAAATAATTTACAAACGACATAACTCACGTTCATGTGTATAACTCAATCTCGTACTAATTCTTCACTGTTTCACAATGTTTAAAGTCATATTAACTCTGAGCACTACTACTATGCTATATAGTATTGGTGCTTTAATGTACAACTTGAAGTTGTACCATAACATTAAATGTACAAGTTTAGGTTGTACCATAAATGAATTTGTATCATTATGTTATGATACAA